CCCCCCCCCCCCCCCCCCCCCCAGCAGTGAAGCAAATTAGGCAAAGCAGCAGTGGAAGAGGAAAGAGTCAGGCTAATTGTTGGTTGGGAGCTCATAGAGAGGAGGCATATTGCCCCTGCCTGCTTAACCTGCCCCCCATCGTGTCCCGTTGGCATCTGCAAAGACGGGCACCCACGCGGGCTTTCATCACTAGCCGGGACCCCTCGTTCCAGCCACCAACACGCCTGCACCACGCGTGGTGTCTGGGGGCAGACGAGGCAGGTGGAACTTGGCCCCGTGTTGCCCAAGAAGGGCCTACAAGGGGCAGCAAACCTGAACGCCCACCCCAAGCCGCCTGATGACGCGGCTCTTAATTTGCAACGTCAGCAGTGCAGGGATTGGAGGGAAGGGTAGCTTCATTTTTTTTTTTTTTTCCTCTTTTTCCCCGGTTGCTTCATTCTTATCAACTCAGCTGTAAAAATCAATATCATCGAGCTTCGTGGAAGGATACGCAATGTAGACTCATCTCTGGAGAGTCTAGAATGTACCTTCGTATCCCATTTAAGCAGCCACCTGGAGAGCTCGCCGGTGCTGTTTGGGGCCCCTGGTAGAGCTGTCGTCTAATGAGCAGCATGCTGGCGGGATGCCTGCTGCCGGGGAGGAGGACCCGGGAGGGGCCTGACCTTGGGAGAGGCAGATAATGGGAGAACTGTCTTCTCCAAACTGCGAGTGGTTCCTCTCTTGGTGGAGGCAGAAGCTTTCATCGTTAGGGCAGATGTTTCCTCTGGGCCGCTGAAATGATCAGGACGGACCTTTGAGTCCATAAAGTGAGCTCCTCCCGCAGCTGCGGGGAGACCGAAAAAGTAACCTGAATGTCAATGTTGTAAATGGGAACACCAGAGATGCATTTGTTGCATGTGGCTATGCCCCGGCTGGGTCTCTCCTTTCGTCTCTCTCCCTCCCTCCCCGCTCCTTTCCTTGCTGACTGTGCCTCCCCTGGTCACTTTAGTCGGGCGGTGTGGATGCGGCTGACCCAGAAAGGAAGCCTCTTCCCTTGGCTGCCTCCTGAGTAATGATCCGGGTGGGAGTTTATTCAGATCTAGTTTGGGAGCTCCGGGATTCCATCCGGACCATTCCTGGGTGGGATGTATCTTTCCTTCCCACCAGCAACCCCCAAAAGCAAAGGGAGGACCTGCGGGGGTTCAAATTTAACTTTGGTTCGGTCACCTGGATTCTCTTGTTGGATTGCCATGATCTTGGAGCATCAGGGCGGTGACCACGTGGATGAGTACATGGCTCACCAAGTCCTCCTACGGTGGCCCCCATGGGCCAGAGTGGGGGATGTAACGGGTCTCTATATGTTTTATGAAAACGCTTCTCACTGCTCTTGTACCCGAACCTTCTGGACAGAGTATGAGTAGGAGATTATCGGGGGGGAAGGGTGATGTTCTAGCCACTGGGATGACAGCGGAAGGAGGCTAACAACCCAGCCCCTGCGGAGGAAATATCTTAGATTTGTGCTCGGTGGTCAGCTACTGGGAAGCTGGGGACATTCGTGGGATTGGTCTTTTGGAACCACTCCTGGGGACTTCCTCTTGAAAGAAGATGCTCTGCGCAGCTTCTCCCAAACTGTTGAAGTGCCTTAAATTTAACGAACTGCTGGGTCTGCCGTCCTCCACCAGGCAGCTCTGACCATCATTTGGTCCCTACTCCCCTTAACCTCACTGAGAACTCTGTACGAAAGGCAGGAGTGGCCCCAGCTCCTTCATCTCCCGCACAAAATACCGTCAGCACCTCTGGGTGTCTGGATTCTCACAGCTGTTACTCAGTCATTCCATGGGGCAGGTGAATGTCACCCGGCTGGGGGAGTGGGCACCCGGCTGGGGGAGTGGACAGACAGAACCGGTTGGACAGTCTGCCCTCAGGTGATCTCCCCCAAACCAAGGACTAGACAAGACTGATGGCAGCGGAATTGGGAACCCCATGGCTTATGACCCACTGAAAGGCCATGGGAGGTGCTGTCAACCCGTGTCCCCTGAGTGATGAAGTCCCCACTTGGGGGATCCCAACAGTTGTAAAAAAAAAAAAAAGTACTTTCTTTCTAGGGTCTCCATATGCACCCTTGGGACTGTGCTTCTCGTGTGGAAGCCAGACATTAACTGTGTCCCTTCTGAATACATGGTGACTTACAGCTTAGAAGGCATCAAAGAGACCTTCAGGGGGCGCCTGGGTGGCGCAGTCGGTTAAGCGTCCGACTTCAGCCAGGTCATGATCTCGCGGTCCGTGAGTTCGAGCCCTGCGTCAGGCTCTGGGCTGATGGCTCAGACCCTGGAGCCTGTTTCCGGTTCTGTGTCTCCCTCTCTCTCTGCCCCTCCCCCTGTTCATGCTCTGTCTCTCTGTCCCAAAAAAAAAAAACCGTTTAAAAAAAAAAAAAAAAAAAGAGACCTTCAGTATCTAAGTAGACATCGCTGGCACGTTGGGAACCCCCCGATGACTGAAGCCACTTGGCACCTGTGTGTGTTCCTGTGGTTAGTTATCCCTATCATGGGGGTCCCCCACTCAGAAAAGGCAGCAAGAAATCTGTCCCTGCCTTTAGCTGACCTCACCTTGCCCTGGGATCTGGAAGGCACTCATGTCAATCTCAGCTCACTGAGAGCCGAGTGTCGAGCCAGGGTTGTTTTGAATGACGGAACTGCCCCACACTTTCTCCTGGGAGGTCAAGGTGGAGCCTGTGCCGTCCCTAATACATTCTGTCTACTTGGATCACTGCCTTGGGCCAAACGGAAAGGTCAGTACAGAACCATAAGGCGGAATCCCCCTGGCTTTCTCAGGTAGACCCTGATTAATATGACCTTTGTTCAGACGGCCGGGTCTAGGACTCTGGGGAGGGCAAAGCTGAGGTGAGTACTGCAGGTTGGTCTCCTCTTGCTGCCTGGAGCCCTATTGATATTTGCCTCACTTAAATGCTGCATGACTCTAACAGAACAGATTTGGTCCCGCTTCCTGTTGGTCAGCTTAATCAGAGTGGCCAGTGGGGTGGGGTGCTCAAGGGAAAATCGGCCAGAAGCTGAGACTAAAAAGGGTGGATATGGTCTGGAGAAAATTCTCTGCAGGCCTTTGGAGTTCCTGCCTGTTTTGTGAACAGAGGCACCACCTGCCTTTGTTCCGGGCTATGCTTTCAAGTCCCTGGTACAGCCAATAGCCTTGGAGGAGGGCATCCCTCTGGAGAGCAGGGCAGGCAACCCCACTGTTCCTCGTATGAGATTCACCTTCCCTGGGGCGCCTGGGTGGCTCAGTCAATCGAACATCCGACTTCAGCTCAGGTCATGATCTCGCAGTTCACTAGTTCAAGCCCCGCTTCAGGCTCTATGCTGACAGCTCAGAGCCTGGAGTCTGCTTCTGATTGTGTCTCCCTCTCTCTCTGCCCCTCCCCTGCTCACATTCTGTCTCTCTCTTTCTCAAAAATAAATAAGACATTAAAAAAAAAAAAAGAGTTTATAAAAGATTCACCTTCCCTACGCTTGGGGTTTCTCTCCTATAATACGACCCATTGAATGCGCAGGCATCATTTGGCCCTTTCCATGTTGCCTTATGGGGCTTGGGGCTTGGGGAACGGAGGCAAGAAAGGCTGCTAATTCTGCCTCTTACTATTTCTGTGAGGATTGAAGTCTTTTGTGTCTGGCCCAGGAACCTTGACTGTAAGGTGCGCTAGCTTCTTAGCGAGTAGGGTAAACCTTGGACACCTCCCGGTCCTTGACAGCCATGATTTGGCCCGGACCACCCTTAAGTGGGGTGGGCACATGAGCGTTATCCGTCGTGGGCATCACGGGAGGACAGAAGTCCCCATCACGTGGACTGTGCCGGACTGGGCTGGCCGGTGTGTGCGGGGCCACCGTCCAACGCTGTCCTTTGTCCAGCCCACAGAGTCCTTTCTGCCTATGATCCGGGAGGCTGGCGGGAGAGCGCGAGCAGGGGCCTCCGGGGTCGAACCACAGGGGCTTCCACCGTGGCCCTCCACGCAGCCCAGCCTCCGTTTGCCCATCTGTCAAGCTGGGCTGACGAAAGCACCTACCTCAGAGGGGGTTTGTGGGGACTAACTAGGCAGGCTGTCGCCACCGTGGTCGTTATCCTCCTTGATAACGTTATCGCCTCGACCTTGACTCATTCTTTGTAAGCCTTGCCTCTCCCTCTTAACAGCCTGTCTGTAATCTGACTTTATCTCTTCTACACTGAAGTTGGCCAATTTACATGGCACCCCTCACCACAGCCACTGGATGTGCCTCTAATCTAATTAGACTAATTTCAATTTCCTGGATTTAATGACTTTTAATTTAATTAATTTAGAATGCAGTACACAGGGTGATTAATTAGGAAACGTTACTGCGGGATTTGGAAGGTGAGTCGCAGGACGTGTTTAAATATTGTGGCCGTGGCCGTCAGTCGCTTTACACGGGGGTCCCCCCGCCCCCAGGAGGCACAGAATCCGGAAAACCCCGGGCGGAGCCGGGACCTGAATGGAGATCACCCAACGCCAAGCTTGGATCCTTCGTCTCTGTGCTTTCAGTGACAAGGAGCAACTCCCAGGGGAAGCGAGGGGGCGGCGGATTCCAGCGAACGTCGAGCGGGAACGAGGCAAGTGTCGCGAGCGGTGAGGACGGGCCTTGTCTTTCTGCAGAGCCATATCCTTCGCCGTGTTCTCCATGTGCCAGGTAAATGGGCAAACCCGCTGCGATTTTGTTTGATATATATTGCGTGCTATGTTCCCTTCTTGAGTACTCGGGAGAAGAAGAAGAATGTTAACACATACGTAACGCTATGCACCGGGTGCTATTCTGAGTGCTTTTATATTGATCCGCTCCTCCTGTTGTCATAGGAGGGGGGCACACCGAGCGATTTCCATCGTCTGAAGGAGGAATCTGAGACGCTGAGTCGGCTCTGCTGGGGAAATCTGTTCTTGTATTGCACGAAAGGGACAGCCCCCGGTGGAGTCCTGTCTGTGGCAGGCGGGTAGGGAGACGGGTTAGGGCTGGGCATTGTCTTGAGCCCCACTTGTCACACGCCCTCCGTCTCTGAGGGGAAGAAGTAGCAATGACACCACTCGGAGAGCCCTCTACGGGGCCGGGCTGGCCTCCTAGTGCTTGTCGTGTGTTGACTCCACACATGGCTGGCCCACCCGCTGCTCACTGAGGGGAGGATGCCTGGGGTCTCCTCACAGCCCAGTGGGGCGCTGGACCCTGGGGGTCAGGGTGAGCCACCCACCCTCACTGCCCCTCTTCCTCTTGGCCATCGACTTCAAGAAGCCATAGGCTCTGTCCGCTGGTCGGGGCTTCTGATTGCATTTGGGTTGGGCCCTCGGAAGCAGAGCTGAGCCAGACCCTCTACCCGGAGCTGGGCCCTCTCCCCTAAAGTTCAGCTCCAATCCCAGGGTCACTTATTTTCCAGATGGGTTCGTTGAGCATCTTTGGGGCTCTGACCCCTGTTCTTCTGGAATGTTGGGCCGTGACCCAAGTAAGGAAAACAGGGTGCAGACTCTACTTCCTGACGCAAGCAATGCCTGATAGGGCTAGACCCTGTTACCCAAGGAGGGAAAGACACAGGAGCTGCCTTCCATAAATGCCCTGTAGGGAATAAGGCCAATCAGTGGAAGCCAGAGAGAGAGACTCTCTGAAAGAAAGGATTTCCTTAACTAGAACGGGTTCTTCAGTAGGCCGTGAAGTACTGAAAGGGTTCAAACAGAGGCTGGTTGTCAATAATTCGCTCACCTAGTCTTCCTTTTCTGGAATGTTCTTTCCTTTCCTTTTCCGCTGGCTCCCTCTCATTCAACCTTTAAGACAGCTCAGGAGTTACTTTCTGACGGACCAGGTGTTCTCTATGCTCCTGTAATGCCCTGGGCAGAACTTAGTCATGGCACTCAACGTACATCGCAATGATCTGCGTGCGAGTTTGTCTCGTTCACGTCGCGTCCATATTGCCCTTCAATAACCCTGCAAAGTGCCTGTGGTTCCCCTAGCTGGAGGGTGGAGACCTCAGCATGACTGAAGGTCTTGCCCATGAAACCAGAAGGAGCCAGAGATGGTTGGGGATCTGGTTCCCAGACCTAATGTCTGCAATCTTTCCACCATGAAATACTGCTCTCCCAGCAGGGGCCCCGATTCTGTGATTCGTGAGGTCGTGGTCTTGTGTGCAAGCTGTGTCTGAGGCACCAGGGGCAATCTATCAAGGGGTGGCTCCTGGGCCATCTCTGGAGGTATGTTGACCCTTGCGGACAGCCACGTAAGTACACAAACCCACCTCATCAGCTCACAGGCGCACTCTCTGAGCCCTTCGGAGGTCACAGAAAGGCCAGGAAAAAATGAGAACCAGGGCCGCCAAAGCCTGTGTTTCTCCTGGACCTGTGGGGCTTGTTTGAGCCTGAGCCAAAGCCCCTCTTAGCGCCCGCATTCCTTGACTTAACAAAGGTGAGGAGAGCCCTACCCTGTGGTTTTAAGGCTGGATTCCATTTCTATTAAGATCGCTGAAGGCCTCGTAAGATTAACTCACGGTCACCCCTGTGAAAGCCGATCCGAGTGGAAAATCGAGTTAGAAAATTCTGCCTTCCCTTTCCCTCACACCGCAGCAGATTAAGGGAAGGCCTGATGCTGAGTTTTGGGGATTTATGGGAATGTGCAGTTGCTGGCTGTTAAACGCGCACTCTTTGGGATGTTGGCAACCTTGCTTCCTATAAATCGTTGCTGGTATTTCTTAGCCTTTCCTTGCCAGCAACGCGGAGGCCTGCAACACCTTTTCCGTGCAGTAGCCTGTGAAAATATTGAAGCTGGGCCCAGAAAAACACCAGCATAGAAAGGGGAAACTTTGATGTTTGCTAGTTATTTTCAGACAACCCTTGCCAAATCTTAATTTTTCTAGTTTACAAGTGAGGGATTCTGACCATCTGCCTGCTGTCAACCGATGTTTGTTTGGGTGAAGATTTTATTTTTTTCTCCCAATCTAGCACTCCTGTTCTTACAAGTAGTTTATTGGACTTCATAAATGTCAGCGTTTTGCAGGCATTTTGTAAGCAGCTTATGATTTAGTATTTAATCAAAATTGAGCAGTCAGCGTCTGTAATCAATCTGAAGCGGGAGTAACAATGAGATCGCAGCTCAACATCCACCAGGACCACGATTGGTGCGTCCCAACTACCCCTGTGAGAATTATGTTTGCGTCTGAAGGGAGGGCGGTGAGTAGAACGGTGGAGGAAATACCCACCCTTCGGGCACCGATTACGCACTATCTTGTGTTTGTGTCAGCTATCGAGTGCCAATACTGCGTAACAAGCCATCCCAAACTCAGTGGCTTAAGTCAATAAACAGTTTCTTAGCTCCTTAATTTAAGGAGTCAGCTGGGAGCTCCTTCTAGCCTCAGCTGAGCTCCTGAAAGGTGTGGGAATGAGTCGGGCCGTTGGTTGATCTTGCCTGGCCTCATCTGGGACAACTGAGGCAGCTCAGCTCTACTCCACAGATTTCTCGTCCTCCACCAGGTTAGCTCAGGCATAGTCATGTGGTGATGGGGGAGTGCAGAAGCAAAGAAACCAATCATTCAAGTGCTCTCCTAAGCTTCTGCTTGCCTGACATGTGCCAACATCCCATGAGCCAACAGATGGCATGGCCTAACCCTGAATCAGAGAGGGGGACAGACTCCATGTCCTTGCTGTGAGAGGTTTTTACAAAGTCACAGGCAGAGGCAGCGGGCACAGGGCGGGGTGGAGAACCGGGGCCCCTTGATGTGATCTAGCCCAGTGATTCTGGAAATCCCACAAAGGAGGTGATGTTTCAACCCCAACGTCCAGAGGAAGAAAGAACGCTAAGTGCCGAAGGCCTCTTCTGATGTCGTTACTAAATTCCTTCCTTGGTTGGCGCTACAGACTGAATTGTATCCGTCCAGATTTATATGTTAAAGCCCAACCCCCCGAAAGGGACACAGGGAGAAGGGAGGTTGTTCTTTTTCTCCTTTGCTACCAGCTTCCCCGCCTCCAAGGATCAGCTCCGTGTTCTAGTCAAGTTGGTAAAAATGGTCAGGAGGAAAGAGAAGCTCGAGGGGGACATCGAGGTGCTCCTAAGAATCGGGCTCACCAGTCCCCCCGCCTCAGCCCTCTGGCTTCTCCCCTGCCCATCTCCTCCCTCCTTCTGGTTGACCCTGCTTTAGCTTCCGCTGCCTTCTCTCCAGCCCCTCCAGCCCGCCGTCCCTCACCCATTCTGACTGCTCTGGGGGCAGCACGGCACCAATGAGAGTCAGCCTGACCTGGGCTGGACTCCACTCAATGGCTGCTTGTCCCTGGAAGTCAATAAACCCCTCTGAGCCTCTGTAAAATGAGAGGACTCGGCTTAGTGTGACGTCATTGTACAACCGCACAGCTGCACCCCCAGAGAACGTCTAGCTCCTGGGCACTCAATTCATATTCTTTTATCGCCCCTTTCCTCCCTACTCCTGTTGACCTGAATCTTCATGGCACTTTCCTATCCCTTCGATAATTTAACATGGATGGTTTATTAAACAGGGGCTTCCTGATGGGCTGTTACTGACCTGGCAAAGAACAGATGTGCCCTGTGAGGGTGCCCAGGCCCTGAAGGGAGAGTAAGCAGTGGGCGAGCCTGCAGGGATGGTGTCCTCTTGCCAGAGGGGAGTGGCCGCGGGGGGGGCGGGGCAGACCCCGATGCTGTCACCTTCATGCCTTGGGCCACCTCTTGGCCTCCTGAAACGGTGGATTGTTCTGCACATAGGGCTCAGGCCAGCTTCCAATCTGGGGAAGGAGGTTGGTTACCCGCCTGGTCTAGCTTCGGTGCTGCGACAGCCAGGTGTTTCTTCAGAACTGGTCATGTGGCTTAAAGCATGACTATCCTAGACTCATTCCTTTGGGTCCTAAGGAGTCAATTTCTTCTTTCTTCTAAGAAAGAAGTTTCTGTGATGAAAGACATGTCTTTGGGGTGGAGACGTTCGTGGACCCCTGATGGCTGACGTTTAGGAGGAGGGCACTTGAGGATCCCAGTGCTGGTTCTGGCTGTGACACTGCAAAGTTTCCCAATGTGACCGTGGATAAGTCACGTCCTATGTCTGGGCTTCAATGTTCTCAAATATAAAACTAAGGGCTTAGGTTGTGTGGACTCTAGGATTTTGGTGAGCTCAAAAGGTTAACTTTGAGGTTACTCGTGGGGTTCCAAAAGGAGTAGGTTTGATGAAGGTGTGGTTAAAAGGGCGGAAGCAGGGCAGCCGGGGTGGGGGCGGGCAGAGGCAGCCCGCCTGGGTGTGGCACCCGGGCTCACGCAAACCTGTTAAACTTGGAGGTTCAAATCAAGGCCTAGTCGTGGATTGATTGGCTCATCGATTGATTCATTCTCTTCATAAGACTTCCTCTGACCTTTCCCAGCCCAAAGTGCTTATTCCCTTCCCTGACCTTCCGTGGCCCCTCCATGCAGCCTCACTGTCGTCTCTTGCAACATCTCCCCGCTATCTCTTGCTGGCCTGGATGTTTTCCAGACGGCCCCTTGCCTCCTGTTCCATGTCCCGGCTCCCTCGCTGCCTGATCGCGTGGGAGGCTTTGCTTTCTGTCTCCACCTCTCAAAGTTCTGGCTATGGCTTCAGGGGCTGCTCAAAAGCCACCTCTTCCAGGAAGTCTTCCCAGGCAGGTAATTCAAAACTCTCTTTCCAGGTGCTCCTTATTAGCACCCTTCAGTGTCTGTCCATTGACATAAGACAAGGCCAGAACTTTTAGCTTAAGTCCCGAGCCTTGTCTCTCATCCCTGCCTTCCCCATCCCCCCAGAGAGGCCAGGGTGTCTCTTACCTCCACACAGGACCGAAGCTGTTTCTCTTGCCTGGAAAACCTTTTCTCCCCCCTGTCCCCATGATGACGACACTTTAGGATTCTAAGACTCCGCTTGTGTCCCCTGTGCTGGTAAAGAGTTTCTTGGACTTCTCTTTTGGTCTGTATTCTGTGTTGTGCCATGCGCTAGTCTCATCCATAAGTCTGGTGACCCTGACTTATTTGCCTCTAAAGTCACAGTGCCTGGCACATAGCAAGTGCTCAATGAACATGGCATTGAAGAGTATTCTTCTATGTGTCCATCACAGCACCCAGCAGAGGCTGGGGCCCAGGCAAGTATATGGATGGGACGATTGATTCAAAGGTCTATTTGTAGCAGTCTTGGGTTCTGGGATGGAGCCTTGAAGCTGGTGGAGCTGAGAATATGGCTCCTGCAGTGTGTGTGTGTGTGTGTGTGTGTGTGTGTGTGTGTGTGTGTTCTCCGTGGGCATGCTTGTTGGGGTCTTGGTAGCCTGCCATGGGTGGGGGGAAAGCCTTAGTGCCCCAGAGGCTGATGCCTCTCCCTGGACGCCAGGCTACCAGCCTACCAACTCCAGAGTCAACACCGGAGACGCTCCTGGAGGACACTCCACAGTCACGGTCACGCACAGACTGCGTTCTGCAGTGGACCAGGGCACGGTCTTGAGCTGCGTGGTCTTGCACCGGGTACCTTAGACAGGTTTCTGACACCTCACATCCTCTGGGAAACTAGCCATGCTGGGCTGCCCGTGTGCCAGGCCTTGGGTGAGGCCTCTGGGTGCAGGATCCGATTTAATTTTCATGACCACCCTTGTTGGCAGAGGGGAAACTGAGGCACGGAGCGGTTGAGTTACTTGTCTTAGACCATGAAGCAGCCAAAGGGAGAGCAGGGGGATGGGGTGGAGCAGCCTTAGCCACAGCCTATGCTCATGGGTGCTATGCCTGCTCCTTCTCACATAATAATGCCTCCTTGAGCCACTGGATTAATGGAAACAGGTGACATTTATGGCATGACTGCCACACAGCAGGCATGCAACCAGCAGAAGCTGGCATTATCAATCTCTCACTCAGGCCTCTCAATGTAAAGGTGAGGAAACCGAGGCACGGTTCACGTAAGTGACTTGAGGGTCACGTCGTGAGTCGGGTGAGGTCTCCTGATGGCCGGCTCTTTTCCTTATGTAAAAATGAGAAGGAAAGAGAATCTCACATTTGGGAAGAATTGAGGCAGAGAGGGAGGTGGTGGGGGACGGCGGTTGAAGACAGATGGGGAGCCAGTCCTTCCTCGTAACTTTCCCAACCACCAGTGAGGACGGTCCTGTTATCCCAATTTGCAGTCCTGCCAATCTGATCGCGGGGGGTGGGTGACTTTCCTGAGTCTGTCAGCTGGTGAAAGAGAGCAGAATTTGAACGTGGGCTTGTCTTTCTCCAAGTCCCGTGCTTGCTTCTGCATCGCTAGCCTAGGAGTGAGGTTGAAGATCAAGGTCAGAGTAGCCACAATTTGGACCGTCGCTTGTGGCAGGGAGTGGACCAGCTGCTGAGGTTGTTCCTTCTGAGTATCCGGAGAGCTCCCGGAGCTGGGGAGAGAGCGGTGTGGGGAGGAGTGGGCCCCAGGGGAAGAGGCAGCTCTTGAAAGTAGAGAGCTGCATTTCTTTTTTAAAAAAATATTTACTTACTTTTGAGAGACAGAGAGAGCACGAGCAGGGAAAGGGCAGAGAGGGAGAGAGGGAGAGACAAAATCTGAAGCAGGTTCCAGGCCCCAAGCTGCCAGCACAGAGCCCCACGCGGGGCTTAAACTCACGAACCGTGAGATCATGACCTGAGTGGAAGTCAGATGCTTAACCGACTGAGCCACCCAGGTGCCCTAGAGATCTAGACTTCTTCCTTGCAGTACTGAGGGAGTACTTCCTTGCAGTACTGAGTACTTCTTCCTTGCAGTACAAGAGGTGCCATTTTGTCTCTGTGCATCCAAATAGCCTGGCTGGTGGGGTGACTTTCAAAGGGCAGAGAGTGACTTTGGACCCTCAGGTTGGAGGAAACATCTCATAAATCTTAAGTTTTATTTTGAAAATTCATGCAGAATTTGCCTTGTTTCCCACAGTATACCCACATGTGCAAGAGGAATGGCTGAATCTAACTGCACGAGCCCAGCTGAGCAGCCCAGATGAGGTATGCCAAGGGACACTGTCTTGGGCCACATCCTGTTCAACACTTACCAATGGCTAGAATGGACTTACTATTCATGGTGTCCCTGTAAGATAGGTTGTGTTACCCCTTTTACAGGCCAGGTGATTCCCCCATGGGGCTGAACCGCCTTGTCCCCGAGGGGCGTGTGGGAAAGTGGGAAGGGTGGACGTTTCAGGGAAGGTGAGAGGCAGGGTTTGAAAAGGCCTTGGCCAGGCTGAAATGGGCTCAAATTCATGCATAGCAAGATGAAAGGCAAGAGAGACCTTTGCTTGGGGTTCAGAATACCCACCAGACACACACAGGATGTGGGATACCTAGGTCAACAGCATAAGTGAAAGAGGCTGGGTTTTTAGTTGACAGGAAGTCTCGTATGAGTCAACAGGGGGGAGGTGGCAGCCAGCAAAGCTAATGTCACTGTAGCATCCACCAAGTGGAGGTACAACGAGTGGGGGAGGGAGGAGATACTCCCGAGTCAGTCTGCATCCAGGAAATGGAGCTCAGGTCTGGAAACCTGAGTCAGGGAAAGGGGCAGAGAGCTCACCAGGCTCTCTGACCCAGAGGCTGGGGGTGGACACTCCTGGCTGCTGCTGGACACTCTCCTCGTCCTCTGGCATCCCCAAAGCGTATTAGTCTATTTCTGAACCATTACAGCCCCTTCTTGCTCTTATCCGATTGCCTTGCCTGCCTCCAGAATACGCTACTCATTCAACTTTGGGTTTTATTCACGTAACCCGAGTACCTGTGGGGATTCCTTGTGACCTCGTTTCTACATGAAGTCACGTTCAAAGAGGCGCAATCCAGCAAGCGAAAGAGAGAGCTTTCCATCTTCAGGCACACCTCTCAAAGAGATGAAAAAGAATGAGGTCCTGTTTCCTTTTCTCTCTTACTATCTTGGGCTTCAAGTCTTCTTTAGAAACTTTGACTCTTCCAAGGCACCCCAAACCCCCCGGGCATCCATAATCGACCTGACACGCCATGACTCTCGAGTTTCTGCATCCCCATTATACACAAAGGACTCAACACCTATGTCTTTTTTTTTTTTTTTTTTTCTTCTGGTCCCTCCTTCCCTACGCCCTCTATGTTCGTCTTGAGTTTTCTTTCCACTTCACTGCCGACCCAAATTCCTCCCTCCGACAGGGTGGGGAGACTCAGAGACTGATCTGGCAAGCCAGGATGCTCCCCCGCGACCTGGGTCTCTCCAGCACTGTCTGTCCCTTCCTATCCTCCCAGGAACTGCGCTGGCCAAGATAGAGCTCTGAGGGAGCTGAATGAGAAGAAACAGAGCAGGCCGAGACCACCTTTTTGGAGAGTGGGTGTGTGTGGGGCAAATATGGCGACGGGAGGGATGGCGGGGACGTCGGGAACACTCCGCATGCAAAGTTTGTCCTCGGTGTTTGTCAGCACATGGTCGCTGTGGGTGGAAGAGCCGGGCCACCCGATCCTGCCTCAGATTGCCGTGTGATGGCTACTTGTAGTGAACAGCAGCAGACAGAGGGCCTCCCCCAGAAGTTCCCCATCACCTTGCATGGTTCATTTCCATGGCCATGGGCTCCTCTTCTCCACAGGGTTGACTCTCGTTTCTTTAATGGCATACCCTGAGATGTCCTGGGGGGGAAGGCTGGCTGGAGAGACAGCACTCACCACAGATTCCATGTGCTGGGCTACACTTCCCCGCTTCCTCTGCAGCTAGATTGGGGCCCCATGGCTTGTTCTGCCCAATGGGCTGAGACCAAGGCAATCGCGGGTTGATGTGCCTCCTCATTCTGCCATAGGGACTTTGGACGCCCCGTGTTCCAGACGGCATGCCAAAAGGGGGAGGGTCTCGCAACTCACAGGGCACCTGATGTGCGCAAGAAATAAACGTCCATCTCAAGATTGCGATTTGAGTCTTGTCACTGCCACATGGCCTGGCCTGGCCCCGTGAATGGTCAGAGCGTCAGAATTAACGGAGTAATTGCTGCTCTTGAACTCTTTAATGTGAGGAAGGAAGAAGCTGTCTCTGGAGCCACGCGGGGCAGCTGATTGACGCTTTCCCTGACTGTCATCATCCAGCACAGATGGCACTTCCTGTTTGGTAACACCTCACGTGGGCTTCTTCATCCCCCACTGACTCTGCCAGTCACCATCCTACACAGTCAAATGTGCACAGTATTAGAAGTTTGCCAAGAGCACATCCTTGTGTCTGCCAAGGAGTGTCTGTTAGAGGAAGAGTATTCTAGGAGACGATGTTCAGAGGAGAAATGGACCACCCCAGGAGGCAGCAAACCCCTTGTCTCTGAGGTGAGCACGTGGAGGTTCGATGCCCGTCGGGGATTTGGGGGGAGGGGGCATGAAGATGAGACGCCATCCCAGAAAGGGGAGGGCTCGGTGTGGGAGGGCAGGCTGGACCAGATGATTCTTAAGTCCCGTGCAACGCTGAGAGTCTCCAGCCCAGAGTCTCTTTCTTTTTTTGGAAAGTGGATGAATGGATAAGCTTTGGTCACTAAGAAAGTGAAGACCTTAGGAGATCACATAGCCTGGCTTAACGAGCAAGTAAGTATCCTAACACTAACATTATCCTTGCTTAAAGGTAGATGCTCATGAGATCGACGTTCTCGGCTCCCCTGAGGTCGACAAATGGTGACGAGTAGTCACGAAGCATGTGAAGCATATCTGTAATTTACATGTCAACCGCAAGGTGGGCTGAGCTGAGGGAGGAGTCACAGCCTTGAGACAGACCCAAGTCATCGTGACAACAGCCCCGTAATAAGGGCATCGGTGCTTTATCATGTGCAAAGTGTTCTCCGTGACATCCTGAGTGCTTCGAGATTACCATCTCAGAGCTTATTGTCATACGTCGTACATTATCATGTATCTCCGAATTTATTATCATAGCTTCTGGAGGAGAACGCCTGCCATTCTCACTGTATGGATGGGCAGGGAGATTTTCAGAGATTGTTCCCACCCAGGAACACATAGCAAGTTAAGGGGGGGATATCCCAAGACTTGAATCCAGATCCTTTGATTGGAAGTGATGGATTTTAAAATAAAAAAGCATGTCTACTCCTGGCACTAGAAGGTGGGACCAAGCTCCATTCGCATGCTCCTTGGTTCCTGAGGGATTTCTGCTTTCTGTGTGCAAGATTGTGTGGGGCAAGGTAGAGTGAGGATAAGGATAGCCCTGAACTGCTTATAGGAAGAAGGATTTTTTTTGGGGGGGGGGGGGAAGCGATGAACTGAGGCACAGAGTGCTGGAGTTCAGACCCTAACTCTTTGTTTGACCCATTTCACATCCGTGGCACCCCAGTTTCCTCATTTGAGAATGGGAAGAAAGATACTGACCCACCGTGAAGAATTTCCGTGAGGACCCAGTAAGAAGACGGGCTGAAAACATTTCGAAAACCCTACAAAGACCAAAGTTGTCATTTCAAGAAGGAATTCATTCAGCGGCAGGTAACAGGGGCACCGGCTGCAGATGGTTTTAACAGATGCGGTGTTATTTTTCCCTGGACACAAGAGTAGCACAGGGCAGGGTGGCAGGTGATGGGATTATGCCGTGGAGGGCCTGGCCTTTCTGTTTTCCTGTCCTCCCTTTATCCTCTTGCTGCTACCTTATAAACACAAGATGGGTGTCCTATCTCCAGGGTTGCATGCCGGCTCCAGGCAGGACAAAGAAGGGAGACAGAGGAAGAACCGGAATGAAGAACGGGAAAGTCTTCTTAGGAATGCAACAGCTCATTGGCCAGAAGTGCAATCAAATGGCCGGGTTCTAGATACGCGGGAGGCTGGAGGCGTGAGCACTCTGTGGAGGTGTGACCCGGAACAAATCCAAGGTTTTGACGGAAACGAGGGAGAGGCTGGGACCCACAGCGGGTGGCGGCCCGCAGTGCCTGCCATGGCTCCAGTACTGAGACGGGCGCTCAATTCACAGGGATCATTTGGCCTCGGTCTCTGGACAGAGTGAAGGCAAATTGGGTTGCCTCATGCCTTGAAGAAAAAAATAGATCTACAGGATCCCGCTGTCAAGATGGGAAAGGGAGGTGGGCCGCGGATAGAGGAAGGCTGTGTGCGGCTGCGGGTCTGGGCATCTCCACGGTGTCTCTCCCCCCCACCTTCCCCTGCTCCAGGCTCTGTTTCCTTAGCCTCCTTCCACGGGGCTGGGCCCGGGCGGGCTGAATTCGAGGAGCTCATCTCTAGCCTCTCTGTGTTTGTGTACGTCTCCACCCGAAGATGTCTAACCACAGACTTCCCCTTGACTCCTGGCAACAGAGAGAAAACAAAACCGCAGCGGCTTTCATTGCTGAAAACACAAAACTGCCTCCTTTGCCTAATAAGCCCAGACGGAGGAGCTTTATTTCTGCTCGCGACTCCAGGCCAAGGAGTCTCGGGTGGGCAGTCACATCGCCAGACTGTGCGGTGGGAGCAAGCCACCTGCTGGGGGCCGGGACCCCGAGCTCCAGGAGCCTGCACTACTGGCCGGCGGGGCTCCAGGGAGACCCTCACAGATCAGGGGGCCCCAAGATACCATTGGCCTCTCCCTCCCACCAACTCTGGTTTCAAAGCACTTGTTTAGTGTATATATATATATATATTTTTATCCCCTTAGTTTCTGGGCTATTAATTTCAGCTATTGGTCAATTCCCATTTTGTGCTTTCCTTTTTTTGTTGGCTTATTTTTCTAATTCCTTATGATGCGTATTCAGCTCCTTTATTTTTAGTCTTTCTTCTTTAATAAGGAAGGCGTTTCAGGCCATAATTTCCCCCTGAGTTGAGCTTTTTGGGGGGTCCCGTAGGTTTTGAAATCAAATGTTCCTCTTTTCATCTGTTTCTAGATGGTTTTTGAGTTTCGTTTTAATATTTCTTTTGATCCATGGGTTATCTAGACCTCTGTTTGTTAATTCCCAAGCACTTAAGGATATTTTCACCCCCTGGGGCGCCTGGGTGGCGCAGTCGGTTAAGCGTCCGACTTCAGCCAGGTCACGATCTCGCGGTCCGGGAGTTCGAGCCCCGCGTCGGGCTCTGGGCTGATGGCTGAGAGCCTGGAGCCTGTTTCCGATTCTGTGTCTCCCTCTCTCTCTGCCCCTCCCCCGTTCATGCTCTGTCTCTCTCTGTCCCAAAAATAAATAAAACGTTGAAGAATATTTTCAGCCCCACTATTTTTTTATTTAAAAATTTTGGATTACGGTCAGAGAATGCGACCTATAGACTCTCCAGTTTTAAGTGAAAAGATTTTTTTCTCTGTGTCCAAGTATGTGGTCGAACTTTATAAATGTTCTATGGGGAAGGACAAGCTGAGCTGGTGAGACCAGCAGAAAAGAATGATGTTCTAAAATGTTCTTGTTCCGCAGATAAGTCGCCCAGTTTCGAATCTTGCTTCTACCTGTCTCCAGCTGCGTGTCCAAGGACGAAATGGAGTATTTTTTTTTTTGAGAATTTGTTTTCCATCTTTAAAATGGGAGCAAAAGGAATATCCACCTCTTAGCATTTCTGCGAAGATGGTGTGAAATTGTGTAAGTAAACAGTACATATGCCCTATTGCTATTTTTATTGTTGGTTTGTTATTTTTGCAGAAAGGGAGGAAACTTTACTGTTAGTGCCCTAAACTTTCTCCCTGCCCCAGAACCGTGGCTTCTGGTTATCGAGAGGCTTGGCAGGAAAGAGGAAATGGATGGCTCAGGGAAGCCACCACCGTCCTTGTGAAGGGAGCCACCTGAGGTGGGGGCCACTTGCCCAAGCAAAAACAGAGATTTGGTGGCAAGGCCAGGTTTCAACCTCAGGTCTCAACTGACCAGTCCCTCTCTCTCTGCTGGCGGTCACTCTGTGGTTTCTCTCTTGAAAGAAGAGACTGTTGACCAAAGGTTGGCCTCTGGGATGAGGGAGGGGCTGGAAGCTTCTGATGGGTGGCCACCTCTGAGCGTTGCCTTATTACAGCTTTGCCATCTGGGAAGGGCGACTCTGAGGTCAGCAAGCTCCAGGAGAAGCTAGAGAAAGAGGGTTGGTTGGGAGCGGTTGGCTGCTTCGGGCACTGCTGTTTCACGGCTCGGTGGGGGGCAGAGGGAATCACGGAACAGAATTACGAGTCGGGGGGGTCTGGGCTCTCTGATTTGGGCCATTGATCTTAGGAGCAAGACCATTCATTCGCTGAGGATTCCCTGTTTCTATCAGCAATCATGTAACCATGCTGTGTTTGGACCATGCGTGGACAAGGATGCCTGTAACATATATGGATTTGTCTAGGCAGCGGGACTCTGACTTCAGATAGGAGTGTGTGCCGTGGGCTAGGCTGCCGGCAGGTAAGGCCTGGGATTGGCTCCTCCATATAAAATCTAAAAAAAAAAAAAAAAAAAAAAATGATAAGACCTCTAATGATTATTATGAAAATTAAGTAAGTCAGTGTTTGCAAAAGTGCCTTGTAAATCGCAGCACAAATACCGAAGAAAGTCATGGTGTGTAGAATTTGGTCTGAAAATGCTAGCTGACGCTTGACTGTGTCCCCAGCTCTTCGCTGGAAGCTGCAGAGAAACCAAATGGGGTTAAGCCTTGTTCGCCCATCGTGGGGCTGGTGGGCTTTCTCAGCGTGAAAGCCTTTCCCTGCCCCTTCCTTTGAACACGCTTCGATTAAGCACCTATTAATAGGCCAGGTTCTGGGCTAGAAGCTGAATAGTATGGTGATCACCGTCTCCTAGGGGACAGGCGCTGAGCAAACGGGTAGGTTGCAAAGCCCTGCTGGGGAGCCAGGGATTGTCACAGAGAAACGGATGGGTTCAAAGGGCACAAGGCAAGCCTCTGAGCCTCCGTTGCATCATCTCTAAGATCCGGACGGGTGGCCTGAACGTTCTCTTGGAAATCGGTAGCTTGGTTGGAGAGAGTAACCACGAGGTGGGGTGGGCGAGTGGACAGAGGCCAATTTATGCCGGACCTAGCACTGGGGAAGAGGGAAGCAGTGGTGATCTTGGCCCTTGGAGAGTCCATAGTGCAGTGGAAAGACAAGAAAGCAGCCAGTGACAGCGTAGTCTGGTCTGAGTTTTGGCAGGCTGAGGCCGAGAGGTACGGGAGCCCAGAGGACGAACCCTTTTCCCAGCCTGGGAAGTTGGAGTGGAAGTTAGCAAAGCAGAGACGCAAGCTAAGGGAATTCTAGGCAGAGGGAACCGAGTGAGCAAAGGCATGGAGTTCTATCCAGCTAAGACACAGAATCTGAAATGGGGCGCGATAAGGCTGCAGGAGGTACACAGTGAACTTGAACGCCGTGGTGGGGAACTTGAACTTTACCCTGTATGTAGCGGGGAGCTACTTTAGACGCAGAAGCATGAGATAAAGGATTAATCAGGCTTTGCCACCAGGATGGCAACTGCGAGTGGGTCCAGGGGGGGCAGGCTGCAGAAGTCCTAGAGGCCAACGTGAAAGGCACTTGTCTGGGGTTGAGCCCATCGTACAGCAAGTCTAGAGTGCCATTGAACTTCCACGGACTCAGCGGCAACCTTCCCCACACAGTGCCCCTGGTCCGGGGAGGATGGGGCCCCGAGCTGAGAACTCTCCTGCAGGGCCCAGGCCTTCAGAACAGCCCTCCGGGGGGATGGCCCCCTCCAGCCTCGGTGGGCTAGTTCAGGCTGCTTTAGCTGGGGCCCATTTGGCTGCAAGGGACATTTTGCTCAAGCCAAATGATGACCTTGTGGAAGGGAGATGGCGAAGTTTCACAAAACCCAGGGGTGAAAGCTTCAGCCCCGCTTCTGAGGAACTAAGAGTCCAAAACTGCAGAGTCCTGCCTAAGGCTCTTTTCCCACACTCGTGGCTCTCCTTCCTCCTTCTTCCCTCCATCGGAGGGCCAGCTCTCTCTGGTAGAGGAGAGCCCCACTGCCCGGCTTCTCCTCCTCACCGCCAAATGCCCCGTAGTGGCGGAGGAGAGGACCTCCCTCCGGGCGCTGGGATCCGGGCAGTCTGAGGGGCTGCGCCTCGGGTCAGGGGGCCTGGGGCCAAGAAAGGGGGTGTGTCCTAGACAGCAGGGCTCCAGAGCCTGCTCCTCTGGGTCTGTTGGGGGGTGGGCTTGTGGGTGGGAGGGGTGCCGGCGCTGGATTGGCCCCCAAGCGCTGTCCATTCTATTAGACCCGGTGAGCCTGCCCTCCAGGTGCACAGTAGTCAGAATCCACAGAGACCTCCACTCACCTTTTCAGGAAGGGAGGCAGACCAGAAAAATCCCCATGTTTGCTACTGTGGACAGTGAAAGCAGATAAGTAAAGGGTCCGAGAAGAGCTTGCCTTGGGGGTGGCGGGCAGGGGTGCAGGAGGGCTGGGCCCTTTTGCTACGGGCTTGGGGAGCCGGTTCAGAGCCCGGCGACCTGGTAGGAGGTGGCCGATCTTGGAGGAAGAGGCTGAGGCCCCTAGGGCTGGAGGCTAACGGGGGCAGAGCCAGCATCTTGGGGCTGAGGAGGGGCCCAAGACTTCTGGGGTGGGCATGCGAGGTTCCTTTGTTTCAGATGCCCCGTGGACTTCACACGGCACCAGCTGGAGGAACCAGAGACCATTGGGTGGTTTTCCCCAAATGTGGAGGAAACTCTCCCCTCCCCCACCTCTGGTGTTGCTAGACGCTGGGCTTCCTGGGGGTTCTCATAAACTCAGGAGGCTCTGTAATCGTTTCCATATAGAATGGTTTCCCTGAATAGCGAAGGAGGCCAGCTGTAGCTGATGGAACACAAAACAGCATGCGCTCGTGGGGGATAAACTTGAACGCCTATCCCTGTGCCTGGCACGCCGCACCCCCCCCCCCCAACTCCAGGAGGGAGGAGGTTGCCCAGTGGTTAAGCACGTGGCCTCTGGTCTCTGCACCACACGCTTCAACTCCGGCACGATTGCTCACCGGTCGAAACCCCAGGCACATTACTTAAATCTTGCCGGGTCTCAGTTTTCTCTCCTGTGAAATGGGCATGATGATAGCCCGAAGAAAGGTTGTGGTCCTCAGGATTTAATGAGACACCCGGAATAGCACGCAGCACGGGTGTCTGGATGGGCTCACTAACACTAGCGGTTTCGATGGTCACTGTCCCTGCTTCGGCACGTGCTGCAGGGCTCAGCCCAGTCCCTTGTGGTTTCTCTATTGGTTTCCAGTGCTGTTACAACATACCTGATGCGCTAACCATCCCCATGTCCTCCGTGCTTGCTAAAGTCTCCCCACAACTTGCTTGGGCTCTTTCCTCCTCTGTGCACCCTCCTTGTGAGAGCTGCCTGGCCACAACCTCACCGCTCCTTGGGGTGCTGCCCGACCCGCCCTCCTTCCTGAAAGCGTGCCGCAGACCCGGGAAGGAATTCGCCACTTCGCCTCCAACTCCCCAGGCTCAGAATTTCCACGAATCTCTGTGAGAGGGAGGCAGCAGCACGCAGCACGTCACGTCACGGTGCAGCTCTAGGGTGGCACAGCTGTAGCCCTAGCTGTGTGACCTTGGCTTGCCTGGGCCTCAGTGTCCTTGCGTGTCACATGGAGACAATGCAAGCAGAGCTTTGTTCACAGGGCTGTGGTAAGACACGTAAAGCAGAGACAATGCCTCCTGGCACCTATGAAGGGCTCACAAAAGATTGGATATTTCTATAAAAATAATCTCCAAAAGCCTGGCTTTTAATGGCTGTGATATCTACTGTGTGGGTAGATCATAATTTCATTAACCAGCCCCTTGTTGTTGGGCATTTAGACCGCTTCCACTCTTTCGCTATTATAAATAATGCTGCGGTGAACATCTTGTATATAAATCTTTCTGTTTATCTCTGCTTCTTAAAAATTTTTTTTTCCAACGTTTTATTTATTTTTGGGACAGAGAGAGACAGAGCATGAATGGGAGAGGGGCAGAGAGAGAGGGAGACACAGAATCGGAAACAGGCTCCAGGCTCTGAGCCATCAGCCCAGAGCCCGACGCGGGGCTCGAACTCACGGACCGCGAGATCGTGACCTGGCTGAAGTCGGAATCTCTGCTTCTTTAAAAGAGCTCCCCAAAGACTGCTTGTCTTAGAACAAAGCCCCTGCCCCCCAGACTTTCCAGTGATGCCCTTTGAAATAAAAGCAAAGCCTATTTTCCACCAGGGAAAGGAACATATGGAACATGTTAACCAAGAGGTGGTTCAGGAGGAAGGTAGAAATAGGTTCAAGATGGGTTTGGATCCATTTCAGGATGTCTGACACAAAGCCAGTGATACAGCTCCCCTCGAGCCTCCTTCCCGGAGCGAGGCAGAGGCTGATCCTCGGGGACCACTGACTTCTTTCTTTGAGAGAATTCCAAAGGGCTTTGATGTTCTTGGCGTGGGAGAAGCAACAATGACAGATCAATAAACGGAGCCAGAATGTGTGGACAATCCGGGACTCCTCCAGCCGGTAGGGGGCGATATCGCCTGCTTCTGTCTTCCAGTTGGGCCTAGGGTTTCTCCCTAACAAGGACTTCCTTTGTTGTTGTCTTAAAACTTTGGCTTACGCTTTGTATATTTCTCTCGCCTGTTTTCCTTCCTCTCCTCCCACCTACGCACTTTGCAGAATCACTTTGGGTTGCCGTTCATTCATCCCCTTCCTTTGGGAGAAATGTACTGCGTGCTTCCCCTAGGCCAGACATCAAGATTGTGTTCAGACTTTCTAAGACCTAGACGTGCTTGCTCTGGAAGTGCCGACTCACACGGATCAAACGTATTGCAATTCACCCATATTCCATATGAGGTATAGTTTTCCTGGGAAGAAAAATAAGGATTATGTTTTATAACGTCACTTTTGAAATTATTTGGCTACAAGTAATTCGTTCCATCTACGGCCAGCTTTGATTTCCCAGCAGTTATGGGGGTGCTCGAGAGTTCTTGCAAAGTGAGAAACATCTAGCCTGCACGTCGTCCTCAAAGATAGTGAAATGTTTACGAATTTTTAGGAATGCTAAATGAAACCCTTAATGCGGTTGATGTAATATTCTGTTTTGTGGACGTTTCAGTAAGATTTTATTCATTTCCATTGCAAAGCTTTTCCTTCGTGTTTGGGATCCAATAATTTTTGTTTTCAGGTCTACAGACAGTTTTTAGGGATCTCTGAAAAGTTCCCAGGCCCTGTAACCGTGCCCAGTGGTTAGCAGAGCCCTCTGTGAGGCTCGGGCACGGAGAAACGGAAGAGGTGGGACAGTTTTTACAGAGTTCCCAGGCCATCGAGTGGCAAACTAATTTAGGTAAGCGTTGCTATAGCGGAGTGTGAGCGGGCCACAGCGAAAGTATCGTTTGCTCTAAGTTGAGACTCCAGGGGGAGTCAGTGAAGGCTTTCGGAGAGCAGGTGCGTCCGAGCCAGAATATGTGACTGGCGAACAGTTTTCGAAGCAGATACCAGTGGGGAGGGTGTTGCGGGCAGGCGGCACAGCACATACAAAGGGGGTGGCCGGGAAAAGAACCTCTGCCTATGAACAAGCCAGCTGACCTCTCAGTGCTGCCCACACCGATCGCTAGGGTGTCGTTTTCCAGACCAGCGGCATTGGTGTTGGAAAGGCGGTCGTAGGCTCCCCCCCCCCAGATCTCCTCTGTGTTAATAGGATCCCTGGCGATTTGAATGAACCCCAAGATCTGAGAGGCAGGCTCTAGTTCCAGCTGGATCGGAGCTAGGCCTCCTCAGGGATTGGGGCTGTGGGAGATGGGGAAGGTGGTGGTCGGCCCGCGGAACTGCAGCCCCGACAGAGCGGCAGGCCAGCTGTTTCAAAAGTTGCTTTCGAGTTTGGCCTGCGAGCCCGTCTGGGACGGGGGGGGGGGGGGGGGGGCGGCCAGACAGTTCGAGGATTGTTGGAGGGCTGGGCTTTTCTGTTTGGAGACTCCTCCATGCACTGGGCCCACACTGTCCCTTCTGCTGGCCTACACTCCAGACAGCCTGTCTTGCCTGTTGGCTCCCCTAGCCGGTGCATCACCGATTACCTAATAGACTGGAAGCTGTGTGCGTAATTTATTCCTGTGAGTAATTGATCACATTAGGATGAGCAGGGTAAGTACCAGGGAGAGAAGGGAGAAGAAGCATCAATAACCAGGGGAAGGAAAACTGCTACAGTCAGCTAATTAGATACCTCTCTTGAGCAGCTCTTTCAACATGATGGCCCATCCTGCCGCTGCTGGCTGAGCACCCCCTCCCCCTGCCCCCACGCGTGGAGGGGCTTTCTGACGGGTGAGGACTAGAGCCAGGAAACTTGGCTCATAGGCCGGGTAATCTTAGGCAAATTACTTCTCTCTGGGCCCCAGTTTTATTGACTTACAACAGGGGGAAGGCTGGATCAGTGGTTTCCAAACATGGCTGATAGCGGAATCACCAGAGGTGTTTTAGAAAATATCAACCCCAAGGTCGCTGAGACAGGAGGTACAGAGCGAGGCCAGGAAGCTGCGCGGTCATGAGCGCCTCCTCTGACTCTGACGCAGTTGGCCCAACAGAAATGCGGGAACCCCTGGGTTGGAAAGATAACCTCAGAGCTCCTGGCCTGCTCTGACGTTTCCGGGTCATTGGTAAGGATGGATGCCTCCACGACCCCTTCGGAGGGTGAGGACGGTGCTGTGGAAAAGAGACTAGAAGGGCCAGAGACCCTTTATCTACTCCTGGCTGTCAAGAATTCACTCTGTAATCACGGTTTCTCCCTGAGCCTCACACCGAACCCACCGCTAGGCTTTATCCGAGCGCCATGTCGCCGTGTGCCCGGGAAGATTTCAAAATACAGCAGACTGGCTCCCCTCGTCCCTAGAGTCTGCCGTAATACGTATGGGGTAGCTCAGGATGTTGCGTATTTTTTTTTTTTTTAATTTTTGTAACGTTTTATTTATTTTTGAGACAGGGAGAGACAGAGCACGAACGGGGGAGGGGCAGAGAGAGAGGGAGACACAGAATCTGAAATAGGCTCCAGGCTCCGAGTTGTCAGCACAGAGCCCAACACGGGGCTTGAACTCACGGAACGCGAGATCATGACCTGAGCCGAAGTCGGCCACTTAACCGACTGAGCCACCCAGGCACCCCAGGATGTTGTGTATTTAAAGGCTGCCGGGCGATTGTGAAGATCAGCTGGCTTCATAAGGCAGCGACCTGTCCGAAGGCATCGCGGAACGGGACACTGGAAGACCACGGGACTGGGCAGCATCCGGTTGGAGGAGGCCCCTGCCACGTTGGCAGGAAACACGGACCGTAAAGAGCCCCGGGCAGATCCTCACGCTCCTGTCGGTCTCTGCGCGAGTGTAGGCAGAGCCCACCGGTCACGCACTCCGGCGCGAGCAGACCTGTCTCCCAACCGGTGCTTTTACAAATAGGAGCAAGTCACAAGAGCAGCGTGAGTGCGTTCCTTTGTCTGTAAAATGGAGCGTCCACGGTAGGGCCTTCCATCCTCCCAGCCCAGTTGAGAGGATTCAGTGGACCCACTCGAAGCCTGTGCCCTATGAGCGGTCTCTGCGAGAACTGCCCGCTTCATCCCAGTTCCCCCCCAGCACTGGGACCGGCAGGAACTGGGCTGGTTGACTGTTAACCTCTCTCAACCCGCCGTGGAAGCAGGACCTGGAGGGTCTGCTGCCGCGATGGGCCAGAGGGCCCGCGAGGAGACAGACTCCCGGCTTTCGGTCCAGGTGGAAACTTCTGGAATTCCTCCTCTCCACACGGCCAGCTGCATGGCCCAGTGCTTTCGTGTTTTCTCTCATCTCTTGGGGCTGCACATGACAGCCCCAGGTCGGCACGCGCCTGCGTGCTGGCTAGCCAGTGAGACTGGAGCCAGTTTCCAGGGACTGAAGTCTCTGAAATCTGTCACATTCTCTTCATCCCCTTCCCCATCACCTAACCCAAGGTACCTTCGAGGGACCGTTTTTGCCCTCTGCAGATGTGTTCTCCTCATAGCAGCCAGAGGGGTCCTCTTATGACATAACTTAGGTCATGTCATTAGTTTTGACTGGCTTCCCATTCTCACTGGATTAGATCTAAACTGGCGTGTAAGGAATACCCTGGAATGGCTCCTCATTCTCTTTGCCTGAACCCCACACTTCTCCTTGTTTACATGGCCCTGTACAAACTGGCTTCCAAGTCTCATCTCACTCCAGGCTACCTACCCTTACTCGCCTTGGGAGGCAGAAACATCGCTATGTGTCTTCCCAAGCTGTTTATTGCCTTGCTGTGCACATGGCCAGACACCGTCCCCCCCTCCTCGCGGTAAGGCGGGGCCGTATCTTGGAGTTCTTGTCAATGGAATATGAGTGTAAGTGAGATGCATCACCTCTGGTCTTGGCCCCCAGAGCTTTTTCTTTTTGCCGTTGACTGCATGCAGAGGCTATAATGGACCACTCCAAGGAGACCTCGGAGGATGGCAGGGAGCTTGGGTTTTGAGCAACCGAGCAAAAGACCTCCAACCAAACACCCGACTGGTTCTGAGGAGAAAAAGGGATACACTAATATTGTCTGAAATCACTGAGATTTGGGCTTGGGTGCTCTAATGGCCCGACTCATCGCCTGTTCTCTGTTCCTGGAATATGTTAAGGTACTTTGTGCTTCTCCGAGGCTGTGTCCTCTGCTTGCAATGCTTTTCCTGACCATTCTTCACATGCTTGCGTCTTTAGCCACTAGGTCTAAAACTCACCACCAGCTCTTAGCCTTCATCTGTGTTCTTGTCTTATTTTTTTTTTTTTATAGAACGTTTTACAACTTGTGTGTTGTTTTTCTTAACTTTGGTTTTCATTGTGCTCCCCACTAGAAGAATGTGAGCCTCCAAGGGCATGAATCAAGTCTGTCTCACCCCCCAGCATATATCCCGTGCCGAACAAAGGGTCTGACAAAAAGTAGGCAGTTAACAACTATTAGCTGATGGATTGAATGAATGAATGAATGAATGAACCAATTATGTGTGATTCAGCTCAGTTCATTTCGAATATTTCCGGGGCACCAACTTTGTGCAAGGCACTTTATACACATATAATGCGTTCTCTACTCAATTCTCATTAAAGTCCTAGTGGGGAGGTAAGATCATTATCCCCACTTTACGTAAAGACATCAAGAGGCATTGGTAGCAACCATAACCCAGGTCCTTCACAATGGCATTCTCCAGCCGCCATCTTATCTCTGAAAGGTAGGTCCTATGGTCTCCGTTTTACAAAAGGAAAAACTCATGCTCAGACAGACTGAGTCACTTTCCCAAGGTCACGCAGCTAATGAGGTCATGCAGCTGGGATTTAAACCCAGGTCCAGGGGGAGGGAATGGAAGAGAATGGGGACACGCCTCTCTTACAGTGCTATTCTTCCTGACAGCCTCGTTAGAAATCCCCAAAGAATATCTGGAACATGGGTGGAAATGAAGACTGGATTTCTCCAAAGTCCCATGAGCTCGGTTTGCAACGGGATTTCATTTTAAATGCAGGACCCTCTCTCTCCCATGGCGCCTGGGATGAGGGGGCGCCATTTTGTATCCTGGGAATACAGCTCCTGTGACCTTCTGTGAGCCAGGCTGGCCTGGCCACCACCGATAAGCTGGAGGCATGAGTGCCCAGGTTCATCTGGGGAGAGCAGCCGGAGCTGTTGATAGGCAGAGAAAATCTGTGATTAATTATGGCAGATGAAAGCATGAAGTAATGAATCCTTCTTGAGGGCTGGGCAAGCGGAGGAGCCTCGCTCTCTGGATGCATGTGGAGACTGCACAGCCCCTTCTGAAACCAGCAGTAAACTTTAATGGCTGCAAGTTCTGTGACTTGGCGGGCTGCGGATTGGATGGCGCATAGAACTCATGAATTCTCTGGGGTGGAAGCTAATTAGGGTGCAATTTTTCAATTATGGAACATCGAGCGAGCCTCTCCCCAGACCCCCCCCCCCCCCCCCCCCCCAATGGATACACTCCATTTGTCTGTTTTCCTTTATTTCTTAATCATTTGATGATATGACAGCAATTATTTGTCATTTGGAAGAGAAAATCGTCACGGAGCTATTGTTTCCCTCCTGAAGCCCCAGCTCTTCTGTGGAGATGGTTACATTTGATAAATGGTCTGCGTTCCCGCCGCTCCTCCCCCAACCCCCACCCGGGGTTGGTGTGGCAACAGGAAAACATTAGCCTGTGACGCGCCTGCTCTGATTGAAACGCCATTTGTAGAAAGGCATAGAAAGAGCAGGATCCAGTTGAAAAGAGCCGCAGCCCGGAGCTCTAGGCCCACCCACGTCACCTAGGTTGAGGCTGTGGGACATTTGCTTTGGGAAATTTGGTCACTTCTCTGAGCTAATAAGCCCAGCGTCAGGATCAGGAATGCAAAACAGAAATGGAGCAAAGAAGGAAAAAAAAAAAAAAAAGAAGGCAAAGAAAAAAGCACTCCGCCAGAAATGGGAACACTTAAATGACTTTGTTTAAATGTCATGGTACTCTCAAAACCCTGTTCTCATATGTATGCAAGTTAATTAAATGGAAAAATGTCAAATTAGTTGCTTAAAATATTAATGGCAGGAATTATCCCAGATTCTAGAGCAGGCAGTGCAGAGGAAATGAACCTTTTAGGGCTTAACCCTTTTTTGGGTCACCCCTTCTCGCACAAAATAGATCTTTCTTTTAACCATGGGAATCTCCATGACTGCCAAAGAGTTCTGTGGGTTTCGGGATCCAAGCTTCCGGGGGGGGGCGGGGGGGGGGGGAGAGAGGGTTGCCCTGCAAGTCCACCTGGAGTACAGAACTCACGAATGGCATTTATTCCTGTAGCACTGTTTTTTTCATGGGTGATTTGAGGTTTCCGGGAAGGCCCAATGATCCTGAACATGTCCCAATGGTCTGTTCTGGGGCCTGGGTAACTTGCCATTTTTTCTTTTGGTTTTTGAAGGGTATTTTGGTTTACAGAACCCAGTAAAATGCAAGATAGGAAAGGCTTGCACAAAGAGGGGCACCCCCGTTGGTACTGAATACCAACGGGGTCTAATGGCTGCGCTGACCAAAATGGTGGGAAGAGGGAGAGCCACAGACTCAAGGGCTTTGAATCCAGCAGGGAGAGGCCACAGGGCCCCGGATCTGGTCTCATGGTAGCCTGTGGGGAAACTTAAGCCTCAAGAAAACAAGAAACGTTCCAAATGCCACACAGCTATTGAGTGCTGATAAGGCTCATCTATTCATGCACACAGTTTCTGCCCACCTCCCCCAGGCACTTCCATATATTAGGGGACAGCAGGGCAAATAGATACAGGCCCGTGCAGGCCACATGCCTAACACCGTAGGAGGAAGGGCAGAGGATGGACGACAGGGACACGGTTATCAGGGAGACCTTGCCTCTATCAGCCAAAGAGCATTTACCACTGACGATGGCAGCCAGCTCTCCATTCTGGCAAAGGCAGGCCGGGAAGGAAGGCAAGGCCTGTCTGTTGAGAAATTACGGCTGGTCACCGCCTCGACACGCTCAGAAGCATCTTGCGGAATTCGATCGGTTCAAGCCTGACAGATGTTATCCCTCTTTTACAGTTTAGGAAAGCAGGAGACCCTCTTGGCAAGGGGAAGTGGCCGAAATGAGTCCGCAGGAATTTGTAATCCTACAGTGGCCAGTGGGGTTTCGGTTTAATTGCAAATTAGCAGTAGAGATACCCAATAATAGAGGTAGGGCCCAGTTTCCAAAAGGGGTATCCTCAGAAGGAAGGAGATATTCTGAGTTGCCCTGTGAGAAAAAAAATTCCAAAAAACGTAGGGAACCCCTATATATCTGTATTTTTATTTTTTTAATGTTTATTTACTTTTGAGAGAGAGAGAGAGAGAGAACGCACGCACGTGAGCGGAGGAGGGACAGAGAGAGAGGGAGACACAGAATCCGAAGCAGGTTCCAGCCTCTGAGCTGTCGGCACAGAGCCAGATGCGGGGCTCAA